GAAGGAAGGAAGGAAGGAAGGAAGGAAGGAAGGAAGGAAGGAAGGAAAGAAAGAGAGAAATTGCCTTCCTGTCTTGAGATTGCACAGATCAGAGACGTCTAAAGAGCTAATTTAGCCAATCTGGACTCATGCAGGGCGAGCCAAACATCCATTAACTTCAGCTCACCTCTCCATCCGGCATTCTAGGTATTCTTTCGACTCCAGTCTGCACAATCCGTTCTCGAAGTTATTTGCCTGCAGACACTTCATGAATTTTTCTTTGAAGAGCGTACATTCTCCTGCACAAAAAAAAAAAACCAAAACAAAACAGCTTTCGTTTAGAAGAAAAAAAAGTAAAATATGCCTGAAATTAGAGTACCCCAAAAAGAACAGCGTATGCCAAAGACAGGACGAGGAGTCTGGAAAAAGGATGAAAGTTCTAGGATGAAAAGAAGGACACGGGGTGACATGATAGCAGTCTTCCAATATCTCAAGGGTTGCCCCAAAGTAGAGGGAGTCAAGCTATTCTGCAAAGCTCCTGAAGGCAGGACAAGAAGCAACAGATAAATAATCCAGGAGAGAAGCAATTTAGAACTAAGGAGAAATTGCCTAATAGTATTGTAATTGCCTTATTCTGCATTCTCTTCTGTTCTAATCCTAATTCTTTCACAAACTATGGCTTACTAAAAACATTCACCCCAAATTACATGGTGGCTCATCCCGAGATGCAAATTTTTGACTCTGTTTTGCAATGCAATTGGCAAACCCGCGCCTGGTTTTCCTGCAGCTGCTCTCATCCCTGCTGGCCAGCGCCGGCTGGGGATAATGGGAGTTGCAGTCTGACAGGCAATTCGCAGGCCAACGATTGTTGAAAGTGATTCACATAAGTGGCTGCGTCCAGTTTTGGAATGGATTTATTCAGGAGAAAGTCTCATTGGATCCGATATGTAGGGGGGATTTGCAAGCTCGGTGCTTATCTTCAGCCATCTTTAGGCTGGGGGTTATGGAAGGTGTAGTCCCAAAGCATCAGAAGGAAAATATTCAGGGGTCTCACAGAGCTGGAGTTTCTGTTAGGGAAAAAGAAGGAAATCTCCCTATAGTCTAAATTTTATAGGGGTCTCCAACCTTGGCAACTTTAAGACTTGTGGACTTCAACTCCCAGAATCCCTCAGCCAGTTTTGCTGGCTGAGGAATTCTGGGAGTTGAAGTCCACAAGTCTTAAAGTTGGCCAAATTTGGAGACTCCTGGTCTAAAATACAGGTAGTCCTTAACTTACGACCGCAATTGAGCCCAATGTTATTGTTGCTAAGTGAGACAGATGTGAAGTGAATTTCCCCCCCATTTTACGGCCTTTCTTGCCGCAGCGGTGAAATGAATCACTGCAGTTGTTAAATTAGTCACACGGTTGTTAAGTGAATCTGGTTTCCCCTTTGATTTTGCTTGTCAGAAGGTCGCAAAACGTGACCCCAGGATGCTGCAACCGTCATAAATGTGAGTCGGCTGTTGAGCCTCCGAATATAAACCACGTGACCATAGGGGAATAATGAAACAGTCGTAAGTCACGTTTTTCAGTGCCGTTGTACCTCCAGTCACTGAGCAAACTGTTGTAAGTCGAGGACTACATGTAGTAATTTTTTTCAAACGTGGCCCCTTTAAATGTGTATGGACTTCAACTCCCAGAAGCCATCAGCCAACATGGCTGACAGGACTTGAAGTCCACCCGCTTTAAAACCACCAAGAAACCCTGTATTAGAGAGAAGGTGGCGACGCTCTAGCTTTTGCCATGTCTATGGTGGGAGTTCTCATCGCCGGGACAGAGTCTCTGGGCGGAATCGCGCTTTTGAAGAGCCGCGCATGCGCACTTTCCCCCCCAAACCCACCCACCCCCCTCACCAAAATGATCCAAGGGGAAGGCGCCCTTGTCAGGCGCCCTCGGCTTGAAGCTTTTCGCCCCGAAAACCATGGTGGACATGACCGAAGACGGACGAACCGGCGGGACGAGGCCCGACGCTGCCTACGATCGCGGTTCTCCCCCACTTCCGGAATGAGGGAGCGCCGAGCTAGGCCAGACGAGGGGAAAACCGAGCGAATCGATCGGGAAACGCTCAGCCCCGCCCCTTTGGAACGCTGGCGGCGCCACCTGCCGCGTGCGCAGAGAACGCTGGTTGCAGCCAAAAGAAAACCCGGGCTGGCCGGGCAAACCACGATGGGGTGGGGTTAAGCAAAGATGCTCCTAAATCCTTGCTTGCACCTTTGGCCCAAGGAGTCTGTCGGGCAAAGATGGGCTTTCCCTGGAAGGAAGCTTTTGTGTGTGTGTGTGTGTGCAACAAGCCACGATTAACAGGGTTTCCCCCATTTCCTAACATTCCAGGTTTCAGACCTAAATGTGAGCAGGACAAGGGCTGGGATTCCCTGCCCAGATGTTGGACCTGGGGAGTGGGTGTCATTTTGTAATACACCCTTTTAAATCCTCCCCTGGCTTGGATTCTTGGGTGCTGGTTGCAATATTGGGTGCCCCTTAGCTATCATCTATCTATGTCTATCATCTATTTATCATCTGTCTACCTATCATCTATCATCTGTCAATCATCTTTTCTGTCCATCATCTATATCATTTATCATCTATCCTGTTTATCATCTATTATCTGTGTCTTTATTCATCTGTATGTATCATATATCATCCCTATCATATATCTCTATTGTGTTTCTATCTTTATCTACTGTATTTATCCATCTATAGATCTATTCATAACTATTATCTAGCTAGCTATATTTATCTTATACACACACACACACACACACACATATATATATAAATTTATATGCCACCCATTTATTTTTACATTTGATTTATTAATTTATATGTCCCCTCTGGCTATTAGGCCACCGTTAATAGCACTAGCACTTAGACTTATATACCGCTTCACAGTGCTTTTACAGCCCTCTCTAAGTGGTTTACAGAGTCAGCCTCTTGCCCCCAACAATCTGGGTCCTCATTTTACCCACCTCGGAAGAAGGCTGGGTTGACCTGGAACCTGGTGGTATTATTATTATTATTTTATAAGTACAAGTAGTTCTCTTTAGTGACTTCAAAGTTACAGTGGCAATGATAAAAGCGACTTATGACCATTTTTCACACTTAACAACCATTACAGCCTCCTCAAGGTCACGTGATCAAAATTCAGCCACTTGGCAATTGACTCATTTACGACAGTTGTAGTGTCCACATGACTCCCTTTTTGCAAACCTGACAAGCCAAAATTCCATGGGGAAGCCAGGTTCATTAACAACCGTGTTCCTAATTTGACAGCTGCACTGCTTCACTTAATGACTGGGCCAAGAAAGGTCAAATGAGTTGCCACTCAACAACTGTCTCACATAGCAATGGAAATTTTGGGTTTGATCGTGAGTCGAAGACTGCCTGTAATGATTTTTAAGAGTGGGAATATTTCTTTTTCGTCTCCGTGACAGTTAACAGAGAAACAATAGCGAGTTAAAAACCCGTTTCGTTGGCATGACCACAAGAAATAAAACCTTCTCTTATGGCCGTGCTCAGTTTGTGCTTCTGGTAGCTTCCTTACTCTGCCTCTTGCGATTGTAAGTGGGAAAGAACACCTGGATGGTTATATAACCACTGGCTGGAAATATGAATCTGTATTATGTTGTGGCAGGGAGCGTGAAAAATAGGCTTTGCCCGGATTGTGAATACATGACTCTTGGTGGTAACGCAAACAAAACCTCTTGATCCAACTTGTTTTCCTCGACACGTGAGCTGAGCTGTGGCAAAAGGAGAATATGAGACCAGGAGAAATATTTTCCGCTCTAGATGTTCCACCCAACTTCAAGCTGGACATCTTGCAAATTAACAGAGTTGGAAGGGAACTTGTAGGTCATCTAGCCCAACCCCCGCCCCCCCAAGTGGGAGACCCTACACCATTTCTGACAGATGGCAGTCTGGTCGCTTCTTGAAAGTCTCAAGTGATGGTGCTCCCACAACTTCCGAGGGCAACTTCTGTTCCATGGGTTGATTGTTCTCACTGTCAAAAAGTTTCTCCTTATTTTCAGGTTGAATCCTTGTTCAGTTTCCATCCATTGTTCCTTGTCTGGCCTTCAGGTGGCTTGGAGAATAGCTTGACCCCTTCCTCCTCTCTGTGGCAGCCCCTCAAATATTGGAAGATGCTCTCCTGTCTCCCCTGATCCTTCTCTTCACTAGACTAGCCATGCCATCTGAAACAAGGTCCTTGGATGATTCTCCAAAGTGTATTGAAATGCACTTAAAACCGTTGCAAGAAGGCAGAAAGAGGGGGGGGGTCAAACCAAATGCTTTTGGGCAAGTGGAAGGGCTGAGCGACAATTCCCATCTTCCCCAGCCACTGGTGATGCAAATAAATAATAATTTAGAGCATTGGGCTTTGGTTTTATGTATTAATTTGTATCCCACCTTTATTAGTTTTACAAATAAGATGGCAAACATGTTCATCTTGTTTTTCCCCACAACAACAACCTTGTGAGGTGCTCTGGGCTGAGAGAAGGACTGGCCAAGTCACCCAGCCAACCTTCATGCCTAAGGCAGGACTAGAACTCACCATCACCTGGTGTTTGTCCCAAAGTCATCCAATTGGCTTTCATGCCTAAAACAGGACTAGAACTCACCATTGCCTGGTGTTTGTCCCAAAGTCACCCAGCTGGCTTTTATGCCTAAAGCAGAACTAGAATTCACCATTGCCTGGTGATTGTTTCAAAGTCATCCAACTGGCTTTGATGGTTAAGGTGGGACTAGAACTCACCATCCCCTGGTGATTGGCCCACAATCACTTAGCTGGTGATTTGAGGGCTAAGGCAGGACCTGAACTCACCGTCTCCTGATTTCTAACCCGGTGTCTTAACCACTAGACCAAACTGGTTCAAAAGACAGAGTGTAACACTTCCACTCCAGAGGTAGGTTCTTCAGATGTTGGTTCACTCCAACTTCCATAAGCCACACCACAAATGGTGAGGGTTTATAGGAGCTACATCCATGGGTGGCTTCAACCTTGCTTTGTCTTGGTCTCTCAGCCCCATGGAATTGTGAGTTGCGTAAAGCCAGAGTTAAACAAAATTGAGCACACAAATATGTTACATAAATATATATAAATATGAGTAGACGGGAAGTGGTCAGCATCGAGCGAGCCCTGACAGACTTAATCCCTAATCTTAGTAATTTGCAGAGACATGAAGGAATGCAATCTGATCTTTGGCACTCTCTGGACGTTAATCTCTGTTTTTGCTAATTTAATAATGCACCAGAGGAACTCAATGAAAACGTCTGATGAACGGTATTTTTTCAGGATAATCATTTGGAGGACGTTAAAGGTGGGGGAATCTTGGATAGGGCTAATTGTCTCCAGAATTACGAGCTGACTCACAGGCCAGGAATGAAAACTGGATGAAATCACACACAAAACTGAGAAATTGTCACCAATCTCTTGCTATTTTCCTCTCTCTTGGAATAGACGACTTGCCTAAAATTGTCATTAATATTTGGTGCTTGTGTGATAAGAGTCTGTTTGTCTGTCTATCATCAATCCATCTATATCTATCTGTCATGCCCCTGTCGGAGTCTGATTCGGAGGGGGAGGCCGAGCAGCTGACAGGAAGTGTGAGTGTGGCTCCGTTGGGTGTGGAAGAAACGGGGGCAGGGCAAAGTCTAGCTGGGCAAAGAAAGGGAGAGGTAGAACAAGGGAGAGAGAGTTCAGAGGAAGACCCAGGCCCACCCGCTCTTCATCCTAGGGCACCGCAGGGAGGAATGGAGAAGGGAGCAATGTGAGTTGCGTGGCTCACGGGGGAGGAAAGGGCCCTGATTACCTTCATTAGCTGCAGCTGGGAACACAGGGTTTAAAAAGGGAAGCTGCGCACAGCAACTTGTTGGGAGCAAATCGTGAGTTATCTTTTATGGTCAAGGCTTATCTGGGTTCCTGGAGTCTTCCCAACTGTGTGTCTTTTGTTGGCCTTTCAAGTCTGCAATTCCTTATCCTGCCCTGTTAATTGATGCAGCGTGGTTTGTGTGGATTTTTATTTACAGTTCATATGTACTTTGTTTTCAGACTGAATTTCCTCCACTTAAAGACTGTTCTTGGGAGAGTTTTTTCTCCAGCCGAAGGTAACTTGGACATTGGTGGCAAAGTTGAAGGTACTAAAGGGACTCTTCTTACTTATATGACTGTGTTGCCTTTGTGCCACGCCCTGGGTCATCACACTATCATCTATCTTTCATCAGTCTATTGTCTTTTCCTTCCTTCCCTCCTTCCTTCCTTCCTTCCTTCCTTCCTTCCTTCCTTCCTTCCTTCCTTCCTTCCTTCCTTCCTTCCTATCTATCACACTAGCTCTGTGACTTCTTTATTCCTTACAAAACAATATATTTTAGTCCACTTTAGAATTTTTCTTTTAAAAAGCAGGTTTGCCAAAAACAGTTTGCAATTGGAGAGCTGCGTTCAGCCACCCTCTTCCAGCTTCGTGGATCCCTCCAAGAGCACTTTATTTTTATTGCTTATCAGCACGATAAAAACGCCCAAAGATTTTTTTTTAAATTTTTTTTCATAAAGTCTCATCAATCGACCGCCGGAGCCAGAAAACCTCACCAGATAAAAATCCCAACAATGGTTACCATTAGGAGCGAGCGACATAAAAGGGGGGTGTGGTAAGCCTTTTTTTTATTTTTTCCACAGGGCCCCAGGCAAATATTAACCTTTGTGGTGACAAGAAAAACGCCTAGAAGACAAATCCCAGGGCATAAAAACCTTGAACACAAAAGCCCCATGAAGAAAAAACCCCTATCATGGATGGAAAGAAGAAGAAAAGGCATTAACTTTTTCCTCATTTATTTTTTTTTGCCGTACACCTGCAGCTTCACCCCACTGGTGTTTGACAGGAGAGCAATGCTTTAATGGCTTGGGTTTGAATGAGATTAATCTCTTGGCTTTTAAGAGTTGTCTTTAAAAATGGTTTACAATACACACGCCTAAGCCAGCCCACATTTTTAGGCTTAAAAGTAAAGCACTAATCACAGGAACGCTTGGCTGTCA